TGAAGACAAGCAGACCAATAATCCTTGTGCACGTTCCATAAGCAAACACAAAAAAAGAAGAAGTGAGGGGTCGTTTAAGTAACCAAAATGCAGGACTGAACTTGACAAACTGGCATTAAGAAAGATTGATGTAGCACTCATTCAAGAACCCTGAGAAGACCCCTGTGAAATCAGAGGTCCCTCGAGAATAGACGGACAGCTAGTTTATAGCAGATCCGTCAAGGTAGTAAGAACGTGCATAATAGTGAAATATAACATAAAAATACTGTCGTTAACAAATTTTTGCTTTAGGGATCTAGCAGTCAAGCTTAGGTTAACAGATAGATTGAAATGAAGGAGTTATTACTCGGATTAGCATATCTTCCTTATGATGACCTTAACTAACTACCATCACGAGAGTTAGAGAGACTGATGAATGTATAGGTAACGGATTGCAGGTGGTCATTGACTGTGACTACAATTCTTATTACACCAGTTGGAGAGCATCTAAACCAAAGAAAGAGATAAGTCACTATTACAATTAATTATAGAATATAATTTAGACGTGGTGAATGTAGGTAATCAACCGTCATTGGTAACTTCAAATAGAAGAGAAGTTATAAAATAACGGTATCAACGACATTTGTAGTCTTCATAAGGCAAGAAGGAAGAAAAAAATACAAACAAGCCAGATATGTAAAGAGACAGAAAGTGAGGAATACCACTAGAGACGTGCCCAGGTGGAATAATGACTTTGCTAAAAATAATTCAACTCTGCAAAAAATTATAGTGAAGCAATTATCGCAAAGCTCTGACTAAATATATTAAAGCCCTAAGGTAGACCAAGAAAGACTAATGAAGAAAGCACTACGAGGAGATAGAACACACTGCAGAAACTGCTAGACTTCAGAAAGTACTCCCAATGAAATCAAGGAGCAGCATATCAATACTCCAGTTGGAATCTGAAGAATACACACTGACCAGCGAAGACACCCTGAAGGCACTCAACAGACGAAGAAAGCTGCAGGTGGATAGAATGCATATTTAAGAGTCGCATGATATACGCAACACTGTTAGGTGAGATTAGGAGAGAAAGGACATTAAGTCTTGGCCTATGCGGATGACTTTGTTATATTATTGACTTTGTTATACGAGGCAATTTTTATTTAAGGGCGTAGGATCTTTAATTTTTTAATAAGTCTAGAGGTAGAGGTAGAGGAAGAGGTAAAATATCTCGGAGTTGTAATAGATTCGAGACTTATCTGGAAACACTCCTAGAATGAATAACCGGAAGAGCGGTGACCGTTTTAATATAACCAAAGGCACTCCTGGAGAACATGGGGACTTAGATATGGTGGACTTAGACCGGATATGATGTATTGGATAGACAACATAAATACCGTGGATACACGCCCGGGCATTATTTTGGGACGGGTAGCTTTATTAGACACCAGACTAAGTAAAACGCAAATTACATAAACGTAAACGCAATAATCTATATTCAACATATACAATAAAAATTGAAAGAGGAATCCTAGTAAATAAAATCGATGAGGCTGCGGTTCGCTTTAGATACCGCTGAAAAATAAATATTAACGATACTTGGATGGGTGATGGACAATCTTTGCTCAATACCCAAAAATCGGATAATGACTAATCATTACTTAATCTTGGTTACAAGTGATCAATTACCAGATCAATAAAGAGTGCTGGCATAAAGAGAAATGCCGGGCAATGATGGTGCCATCGTTACACAACATGGTGGTTAAACCCACAATAACATATACATCTCTGGTATGGTGGCCAAAACCTAGGCAATGTTTCAGTTAGATGGGGGAATTGCAACAACATAAAAAAAAATTAAGGATCACATATTGAAATAAAAACGGGCTACATGGTCCCCAAATACAAAATCAAGATACCTTTTCTGGTGGAGACCTGATATTAAATGAAAAACAAAAAGATAACCACAAGAGAGATATAAAATGAACAGAAGAAGACATCCAAAGTCTGGTGAAAACAGATGATACACTGGATCAAACACGAATAATGGTTCAGGAGCAGGAGTTTACAGTTGTGATAAGAATAAAAACAGTTTAGTCTCACTGTTAAAGATTACATCTGTATTCCAGGCAGAGGTCAATGCAATCCTTCATTGTGCAAAGATCAACAATACAAGGGGTTACAAGGATAACCTACGTCCAAACTGGCGTGGGAATGTCTCAAAGAATTTGACAATCGAGCGATCAACAGTGTAAAACTTGTTTGGGTGTCAGATCATCAAGTCATAGATGGCAATAAAAGAATCGATGAACTTGACAGAAGAGGATCGGCAACTTTATACTTCGGTCCAGAACCAGTTCTGGATGAACCAAAGTATACAATTATAAACCGAATAAGAGACTGGATTCAAAAAAACATAAATAATACTGGGAACAGATTTCCACACAAACTCATGGGAAGGAAGAGTTTCATAACTCAGACCTGCTAAAAGAGAGCTGCAAAACTAGGCAAAATGAATAATAAGCAGCTCAAAATCATAACAAAGTTACTCTCTAGATATACGCCAGTGACATAACATCCAAATACGATGAGACTTTTTAACGGAGATCTAAGCCGCAGATTATGCAACAAGAGACCGAGATAATCAAACGTAAAGACAAGCAACATATGGAGATTGCAGACGAAGTTCATATACATATGATATCTACCCAAAAGACCTATATACACTGGTGGAGGGTATGTCGTAAAAGAATATGGAAGGTAAACACAAAAATTCTAAAGGCTGCAGCGTCAGCGAAGAATCCATTTAGACAACTTCCAAAGGAAAAAGGCATGCTACCTCGGTAAACCTCAAAACGTCAGGCAGTTTAAAACTTTTATAAAACTTAAGATTAAAATCATTACTTTCACTTGTTTATATTGTTTCCTTGAAATATTTCGCTAGAAATGCTGGGAAATTACAAATATTATGTAGTATTTAAATTACTTGTAATTTTGTACTATTTTTGCTGTAAACACAGTAAACACAAGCACAAATTTAACGGATGTCTATTACTCGCTCTTCTTGTAAGTCCTACAACTTGCTTCATTGTTTCTTTAAGCAATTAAACTAACTAAATTTTTAGTTTTGCTTTTTCTTAAATATCACAATATTTATTTCTATATAGTTTCCCTATAGTTCATTATAACAATAAAGGGTACTTCAATTATTACAAATGCATGCTTTGAGACTTTTCTACTTACTTTTTCTTTTTCTGTAGTTTTAATATAAATGAAAAAAAAAGATAAAATATCGTTTATTTTGAAAATAGAGTATAAAACAAAGAATAAATGAGTAACAGTAAGGAATGTCGAAGTTTATAACTCTTAAAAGTTCGTAAATAATCATAGTACTATTATTTTCGCCACCCATAAAGAATCAGTGTGGATTATCATTCTCGTATTTTACTTATCATCGGTTTCTTATTGTTAGTGGTGCTGTTGAAGTATTAATAACACTATAAAATACATTAAAAGTAAGTAAGTGATCACAAAAATGGATGCTCAAAGACATAATGTGATAAAAAAAAAACAATCACGTGACATGATTTGTCGTGTAGAACTAAATACTTTATTAATCGGGAAACTAAAAACGTGGTAACAGGTAAAATCCATCGAATACAGCGAATCCACTGTAACATTAAAAGTAGGTACAATTTTACAACACTGTTAATTTTAGAATAAAAATCATCTGCGTTTTTTTTATCACTGTAACCGGAATTATTCAACAAGATCAACGGTCATTATTGAATACACAGTGAATTGAGTATTTTCCTATCCAAACGCATATCAAAAAGGAACCTATTACATCTTTGTTCGAATATATAACTAAGGACATTCGATGTATAATTTTCTATAAAATAATATATTAAAATAATACAATATATATTTTTTATAAATCGTTGAACCTTGTAAAAGTACTTGAAAAAAAAAATAAGACAATGCATTTGAAATTCATCAAATGCTCCAGATCCTCCACCAAGTGAAGTGTATATAGAATCGTTAAAGAATGTACGAAATAGTTTATAATAGTTATTGGCCCGGTTGGTGAAAAAATTTCTAAGCGAAGAATAACTACTTGAAAACTTTAGAAAAGACTATGTCACTAATATATTTAAGAAGGCTGACAGAAAAAGGTGTTCAAACTATCGTGAAATTGCCGTTCTCAGTAGCATTGGAAGACTTCCAATGCTACTTTCCTACATGCCCGAATTAAAAGCCAGTTTGCAGAAAGTAGAGACCAGAGTAATTTCAGAGCCGAACAATCCTATGTAGGTGATACCTTCTCTTAGAGAAATTACAGATAAAAGGCTAGCGCATAATCTAGAAACGCCCTTTAGTTTTTATTGATTTGAAAAAAGCATACAATGGCATACTACTTTCTAGGCTCTGAAAAGACAAAACACGAGTTACACTTATATAAAAACGATAAGAGAATACAAGCTGTGTTAAAATCGGAACATTCCTCTCTCTGGGTATTTTCAGGTGTCAAAAGGATTGAGACAAGGATGCTCTATTGCCCCGAATCTATTCAAAATATGCCTCGACAAAGTTTTAAAAGAGTAGAAAAACAAATGTGGCAGAAAGACATAATAGATACCATAGAAGCAAGAAGACTATAGTGGTACGGTCGCTAGAGATAAATGGCAGAAGATAGATAACCTGTAAACATATGGAAATAGGAGTTCAGAGAATAATAAGAGAAAACAGTGAGTCCAGAATGTGTACGTCAAAACGTTGATTGTTAATATCTTAAGAATTGTACAGAAAAATTTGTAGTGATATGTACGGTCAGAAAAATTATGATAAAAAACAAATTTTTTCTGGCAAAATACAATAGCAACGGACAAAAAAAATAAGAAGGGCTAAGATTGGCTAAAATACCAATAGCATAGTTCGTAATAACTATAGAACAATAATCATAAGAAACCATGATACGAATATGATCAGAAAATTTAATAAAAATATTGGTAGGATAAGGTAAATCTAATGACACATGATAACTTACATGACACAGAAGCTTAGTGTGTTTAATAAGAAACTCGACCTAGGAAAAAATTCTATAAATAATTTACATTTTACATGGTATTAAATATGATGTAGAAAAGATATCTTTAAAACGTATTATTTACGATACTTTTTAGTTATAAAAACTATATAATAAAAACAATAACAATAGATACCTGATAAATATGACTGATACAAAACAATAAAATAATTTTATCATAGGAGTATATATAGGCTTATAATAAAATAGATAACCTATGCAAAACCTATAGGGTTGTGTGCTAAATACGGATCCTGGTGATCAGCTCTAGTGGACGGATAAATACAAAACTTGCATGGATAGTCTAAAAAAATAAAATACAAAATTATTTAATAAAATACAAATAAAATACAAATTTATTAATATTTTGTTTTTTCTTTTTATAATATAAAATTCCTGAAAAAGGACATAACTTGCAGACAAACTTGTTACAAAATACTGCAGGATTGGTCCTTTTGCTCCTATGAACGAAATTTACAAATATCCGAAGAACCGAACACCGATATTAGTATTGAAAATGATATAAAGATATCGAAAAGAAACCTGGCATATATAATTCTGATAACCCGATATAGTCTTGTAGTTCAAATGACCTGGGTTAACATTTTAGCACACTTCCACAAAATAATATACACACATCAAAATAATCTAGGGGACACCTCTATTAATAGCTTTAAATCAATGTTAGCTGCAAATACAGAAATAAATTTATGTTTTTAATCTTTTTCGTTGTTTTGTCGTTTATTGTAGGAACTTGGACGGTAATCTTGATCTTGATAATGACTTTAAAAAATTTAAGAAAACTTCAATATGAGTTTTTTGCATATAACATAGAAAGTAATATTGCTTTACTGTTTTACTGTCTATGTGAATTTTTATTCAGTTTTGCAATTGCCAATAATGAAGAGACATCATTTACATCGCGAAACGCAGTGGCGTGCTATCGAGATGCTTCAAACTGACAGAAGTCAAAGAGACGTTGCTGATGTCCTCGACACAAACAGAAGTGTCATTAATCGTTTGTGGTTAAGGTGTCAAGAAACTAGTGATGTTGCTGAACGTGGTACAATAATAACCAACCAGATTGAAGACCATTTCATTAGGTTGCAGGCTTTGCGAGATCGCACTATAACTGCATCACAATTACAAATGAGTCTGCAAGAGACCCATCAGGTATTTGTAAGTAACCAAACCATTAGAAGTAGACTGCATAAAGTTAAATGGGTTAAATTCTCGAAGACCTGTGGGGTTCAATGGGCACAAGAATACGCAAATTGGGTTAGACGTGAGTAAGCTTCTATTTTGTTCACAGATGAGTCGCGATTTGGATTTGCACCAGATATAAGACGGACAAGAATTTGGAGACGATCTAGCAATGCTAAACGATTGGCCAATGTGCAGAAGGTTCATACATAGCAAGGTAGCAGTATAATGATATGGAGTGGCATCAATCTTGGTGTAAGAATCGATCTCGTTTATCTGGAACGGTTTTTAAATGCAACAGACTACCGCGATATTATTCTCCAACCTATTGTCGTACCCTTTATACAACATGCTGGTCCCCAATTGCAATTAATATACAAAAATGTGCGTCCGCATACTGCCAGGGTCGTGCGAACATTCATCGAAGATAATGAAATTGAGGTTTTACCATGGCTTGCACAATCGCCAGGTTTAAATCCAATTGAGCATGTATGGTACATATTGGGCAGACGCATTTTACAACAAATATTGTGTTCAATACAAAAGAACAACTGTATGAGGGTCTTTTAATGGAGTGGAACAGAATACCGCAGCAAGACATTGACCATCTGATCAGGAGTTTGCCTTACAGATGTCGGAAAGTAACCTACAACCGTGGAGGTCATACACTGTACTAACTTAAACTAAAGACTACTTTGTTGGGAGTTGAGGGGCAACAAATTAGTTTTTTTATTTTTTGTTTTTACCATATTTTTACTTATGGACTTCTCTATAAATTTTGTTAAGAGTTATTGAGATAATTCTAAAAAAAAATTTTATTTTATGTTTGGCACACTTGTTTATAACTTTTTATTAAAAATATTTGAAACAAATTATTTGAAATCCTTCTGTAATTTCGCATTTTGTTTTTGTCCTCTACATTATTTTGATGTATGTATTACCATAGTTTAAATAGGACTAGTTAGCCAACGCAATGTATAAATTTGTTTGATTCTAATTGACAGTCACTAGATGTCACCACTCTTTCTGTCTCAATAGATTTTAATCTGCCATTGTTTGTTTGATATACGTTATACTAGATGGTGCTATGTGAAAAAGTTAAAGACTAAACTAAACGTCCATTTTTGATCCCATGAATTAAATTCGCCAGCGTTGCAATATTTCACTGACATAATAGCAGCAGGTTTAGTTACAAATAAAAATGTTACAAAAAACAGACCATGAATCACTTAAGGTATTCATTTAAAATATAATTATTACTATCAACAAGTAAATATCGTGTCAACTGAAATAGTACACAAACACACTTTGGCTTCTAAATCTTCATACATCTACCTAAATAAGTTTAAAGAATTTAAATATTTTATTTTATTTGGAAGTGTATTTAAAAAATTTGGTCCGAGGTAAGTAAAAGATTTTAATCCTATACCTACGTTTAAAACATAAAAAACATTTGTATGAGAAATGAACAAAATTAGGTATTTAGAAATAAATTTTATCGGATAATACATACCTACATTCGATAATATTTGAAAGAAAGTGATTTTAAATTAAAATAATGTTACTTCCAAAATAAATAAATAGTTTTTTACAGATGGCTGGAAATATTTGTTACTACAAATGTGGTTTATCACCATACAAAATTCATGGATTGAGAATGTTCAGATTTCCGACAAAAAATCCTTCGGCTTGTCAAATTTGGATATTACACTCTGGTAAGTAAACATAAACTTTTTTTATATTCTTGTATTTTACACCGTTTCCGTTACGTAATTAACTTTAAAAAATGTTCATTTTTTTTTCATTTATCATTTTTATTATCGCCACGGTGCACGCATCATATTCGAGATGCATTAATTTGAATTTTACGTTTTCGTTGGTATTATAATTATGATATAATAAACTTCGGAAAAAAGAAATTAGTGAATAAATATCACTATTATTATTATTGTATTGAAAAGTTGAAATAAATTCATCTTTATCGGAGAACTAATTTATACACCAGTCCATCTGGGAAAAAATCATTGATTTGACGTGAAAATTTTATACAGATATTTGAAGGTTCTAAAATATATATAAGGGTTAGTTAATGATAAATATGTGAAGACATACAGGTGATTTTGGTTTGTTTTTGTTTAAACAATTTTAAAAAGTGAGAGGTCATTCTTTTGCCTATAAAACGTTTTTTATTCAGTTTAGAGAAAAATAGTTGAAATAAAAATTGTAGATCTTAAAAAGTTCTTCCATTTGCGAGTTTCTGTTAAAATACATAAAGAATTCACCAAAATAGTTGCAAAAACCTTTGATTTTGCAGAAATTTATAAATTTTAATAACTTTGTTTTTGCATAATGGTATGTAATGTAACTAATAAAAATAGTAACGATTTGTCTATCATGGAAAGCGATTATTTAAACAACTCTTTGTTGAGCTACCCCAGTTTCAAGAAAATTAATGTTTTACGCGCCACAGAAGCCAAGATATTGCACATTTTGCACGCGCGCTTCATTTTAAAAAAGGTTCAAATCGAAAAAAAAATAACCGAGCTCAGATGGGTCTCTTTTAAGAAGCGGTATTTTACCAATACCGTCATTTTAACGGGTTATAAATTTTTACTTCTTTACTGCATATGCCATCTGTAAGTTGGATCGCACAATTCAGATCTTCATTTAGAGTCCCTTCAATTGTCAGCTCTTACTGTTAGACAATGGAATTATGATTTTAAGAATAAAATGCTATGGTTTTAAATATAGAATGCTCTCTTAGCTCGTAATGAACATAGAATATTCTGTTTTTTTTAGAAAGTGTGTTTTTCACCAGTTTTTCATTAAGCTTCTATATAAGTTTTGTGGCATAAACGATATCAAAGTTATTATAATTGTTTATAAACAAATTAAATAACCTATAAACTATTTGCTCTATCTGATTAATATTTAGCGCACTTTAATAACCTATTAATTTCCGTAATTTCAAGGAGCTATGTTACATGTCTTTGCTCAAAAAAGAGTTATTATAACTTATAAATAATTGCAAAAATAAGGTTTTTTGCAAGTATTTCGGTTAATGGTTTCATGTATTTTAATTTCGATACTCTCAAAAATTACTGTTTTCATTTCATTTCACAAAAACAAATCAAGTTTTTATGATCTACAACTCTAAAAAAGCTGAAAAAATCTTAAACAGATATTTAAAGTCTCTAGAAGGTAGATGAGGGGTAGCTGATGACAATTATGTGAAGACTTTAACTAATTTTGCTTTGCTTTTTTTTATTAAACAATCGTAAGAAGTGAAAAAATGTTTGCGCATTAATCGTTTCTTATATATGTTAGAGATATCTGGTTAAAATAAAAGTTATAGATCATAAAATGTTCTCTAATATTGAGATTTTTATAATTAAAATACATAAAGAATTGACCAAGATAATTTAAAAATCCTTATTTTTAAAGTATAATTTCTAAATGTTAGTAACTTTCTTTTTTGCATAACGATATGTAATACAACTATTTAAAATTATGGGAGTTGGGTTTCTAAAGTGTACTAAATGTCATACAGAACGACTACAATATACAGTTTATGAGTTATTCAATTTGTTTATTCCGGAGACCGATTATTTAAACAACTGTACTTGTCTAAACAGTCACTCTAGGGACATTTTGTAAATATCAATCGATTTTTTATGGCTTCGTTTTAAATTATAAAAAAAACATCAAGATTATATTAAATTTGTTTTTAAAAATCGGTTTGAAGAATAACAAATTTTTAGCATATAAAAATTTCTAATAACTTTGACATTTTTATGTCATACACTTGTATGCAGGCTCAATATAAAGCTAATAAAAAAATATTTAAAAAAGCTAAAACCTTCTATGGCCCAGACGAAATCAAATAGCATTTTTCTTTCTTGTTTAAGAAATTGCAAATATTTTCATTGTTTATTATTATTATTATTTTTACCGTTAAGAGCTGAAACTTGAATACATTGTAAAAGAATATCTAACTCTCATAATTCGATTTATAAATGGCATACACAGTGAAGAAGTAAATTAGTTTTAAAACATTAATGGTACTCGTAAAATATCGCCACAGAAAAATGCAAGGGAGAT